TCAGTCAGTATTTAACACAGCTGGCAAAATAAATTGTTAAAATATGTATTATGTGCTTCTGTTTTTTTTAATTCAGGAGATTATAAAAAATCCTTCATTTTATGGAAAGACCCTCTTGATTCAAGAGAAAACTCTGGTTTTTAAGAAAATGGCTGCTTATTAATTAATTGTTAATCAATCTATAAGAAAAATCATCTTCAGATTAATTCATTAATCAATAGCTTGCGTCCTTGAGGAGTTAACTTAATTTATATCTACTTATATTAATGTAATTAAGTGTTTTAATGATTTGGCCGATTAATCGATTAATCGAAAAAATAATCAACAGATTAATCGATTATTAAAATAATCGTTAGTTGCAGCCCTACTGGATACAAGTGGCCTAAATGAACTTTTATAGAGAGATAGGGTGAGGAGCTCGAAGAAGAGCCTCTGCTCCTCCGCATCGAACAGATTCAATTGACGCCGTTTGGGCATGTGGACTCCTCACCTTGTTCCAGGCATGTCCCACATGATAGGAAGACCCAGGACTTGCTGGAGGGATTATATATCCCTTCTGGCCTGAGAATGCCTCTGGGTACCCCGGGCAGAGCTGGAAAGTGTCGCTGGGGGGAGAGGGGTGTCGGGGTTTCTCTCCTGGACCAGTTGCCTCCACGACCTGACTTCAAGAGAAGCGGCAGAAGATGGAGAAATCTGCGGACAGACTAGCATGAAGAAGAAAAATAAATCAGTGGAAGGAGTGCAAGAAGTTATTCCTGATTTAATAGTTTTCATATTGATATTGTAAAAAAACAAACAAAAAAAAAACGTCTCACTGGTGAGCTCATACTCTTTATTTTTGCATAAAAAAGACAAGTTTCTTTCTGAAAAGTACAACCTTTTGGCCACAACTTTTTTTTAAAGACCCATCATCTCTTGAAAGCCTGCATAACACCCCTCTGACTTCAGAGTCACTCTAAGATTATCATATGATGACGAGGAGTTATAGCCCATTTGATTAAACCTTGTACCTGTTATGTACAATGTCAAGCAAAATTTGAAGATCTTGCTTTATCTCTTGCCTCTTGAAGTACATGTTGCGGATTACTTTCAGCTACTACCACATTCTGTTTGAGCTAGTTTTGGGCACATTAACGCAGCTGATGCTTAACGGCGATAATTTCTTAACAGGTGTTAACGCAGTTGTTTATTTCTTAATATTTCTTCGTCAGATCTCTGTTCTCTGGACTGGTTGTGTAGACACACAAACCCAGTGGTCATGGCGGGATYTTGAYCACTATTAAGTCATTAGCCTTTTATRTGAAACAATACCTAAACAATGCTCTAAACATCTTGGAATCATAGATACATATTGTGCATAATGAGATTAAGAATTTATTTTTGTGATTCTAAATGAGTACTACATGAGGAAAGAAAGAKCCATACTGAGGTCTCAGTGGTCAGAAAAAAAAGAAAATACATTAAGCAACGCAAAGAATAAAAACAAACATGCACAGTGTGTCACAGATGGAGTGCCTTGCAACATGCAAACACACATTCAGCCAAAGTGATCATTTAAAAAATTGCGATTAATCTCAAAAATATCTTGCRATTAATCGCAATTAAAAATGTTAATCAATGCCAAGCACTACTTTTATCCCAATACCTGTAAAACTGACAGCAGGGGTAGACATAAGGATTTATTTCTGGTTGTCCAGCGGACAACCTGTTGACAGAACCTGGTTGTCCGCAAAACATTTTGGTTGTCCAAAAGAATTTCAAGAAAAATGTAATTTAACAAATATATTGTTCTGTAGACAAAGTTTATTATATATAATTGTTCTCAGTCAGCCAGGTTGACAGGATCTGCGTGAATAAAACTTCCTCATTCTCTTCTTTGATATAGAGTATTTAAGGCTCAGGGAGTAAAGCAGCAAAAATGTTGCTAATAAAATCCAGAGGTGACCCAACATTCATAAACTTCTTTCTGCTCATAGGCCAAACATTTTCACTTAAATAGGAGTATACTGTGTACATGATTTTATTAAAAGTTACAGTTTAGTGTTCTGTTTGGATTTACCAAGTTTTTTCTCCCTTTCATTTTTATAAATGAAGAGAACTGATGAAGCTGCAGAGAACTAATCAAGGTCTTTTTTTCTTGGTTGTCCACCGGACAACCAGGAGACAGGATCAGGTTGTCCGAAATGAAAATAGGTTGTCTCGGACAACCTAAACAATGGTTAWGTCTACCCCTGGACAGAGTTACAGCCATTTTTGTTTTTGCTAATTAGCTACGATGGCTGTTTGGAATGAAAATGAGTCCAAAAGGTAATCAGCGGTAGAGGTACATCT